CATCTACTATCTCTTATCCCTCTAATTCATAAAAGCTTATATTATCTACTAATTCGTCTCATCTAACAGACGTTACTCCTTTCAATAACTGTCTAGAAAATCATCAGTAATTTCTTTCTCCATTTACTATCTTTCTCCCAGTTCAACCTACACTCTCACTACACTCCATCTATGATACATATCCAGCCACAGTTAAAAGTTGTTTCCTTATCCCGTCGGAAAATTCCTAAAAGATGGTGCCTCTGAATTGCCAATCCCCATTGCTCACATAATAAATTTGTCTATCATCACTAATACCGTACCAGAGGGGTTCAAGGAAGCCAGAGTTACTCCTATCTTCAAGAAAAATAGTAGCTTTGATGTAAGCAACTATAGGCCTGTTAGTATACTCAGTGTAATATCCAAAATTCTAGAGAGGGCGGTGTACTCTCAAGTAGTTAAGTATCTTAATGACAACAACATTCTTCATAGTTACCAATCAGGGTTTAAGAGATCTTACTCAACCGACACCTCCCTAATTAATCTGATGGGATGGATTACCTGAGAACTGAAATGTCGATACGGAATCTCATAGGAATGGTAACCTTAAACTTACACAACTCCTTCGATACTGTCAACCACAATATATTATGTAAGAAACTTCAAGATATTGGCATAGGTTCCATAGGCTGGTTTAAGTCTTATCTTAGCAATAGGAAACAAATTGTCAAAATAAAAAAACTGAATCAAAACTCCTGCCGATAGCACGCGGAGTTCCCTTATTATTTCTATGTTATGTAAACGACATGCCCATCAGTGTCATGTGCAAACTCCTACTGTATGCGGATGGCAGTGCTCTGTTAGTGTCAGGTAAAGACCCACAAGATATGTAATGTAATAACACTAGAACTGGAGTCCTGCAGCAAATGTTTAGTAGACAACAAATATCGTTACGCCTCGGGAAAACTGAAGCCATTTTCTTTGGCACGAAACATAAACTGAGAAGGGCAAATAATTTTAATGTCCGATGTAATGGGGAACCCATCACTTCAGTTTCCTCAGTAAGATATCTGGGAATTCCCTTTGACCCATGCATGTCAGGAGTACTGATAGGGAACAGTGTAGTAAAAAAAGCGAATGCCAGACTGAAGTTCCTCTATAGACAAGCACAGTGTCCACCCACTGAGGCCTGCAGGATTCTATGTCACCCTTATACATGTCATTGGATAGGCAGTGCTCTAGTGTATGCAGAAAGAAGCAACAAATATGTAAGATAACCAGAATGGCCGCACAAAATGTTTGTAGACATCATAGACGCTGGGACAAGACTGAAGCCATGTATTCTTGGCACGAAACATAAAGATGCTGAGAATGTGAAGACAAATAAATTGGTTAATAGTTCGATAAATGGACTCCACAATTCTATTTTGCTCAAAGTGACAAAGCATATTGTACTAGGGAATCCACTCTGCACCCATGCAATGGTCAGAGTCTGCTAAACACTTAGTAACAATAAAAAGCGATGCCCGCACTGCAAGTCTCCTCATAACCAGCACAAAGTGCCCAACGAGGCTCCGCAGACTCATGTCGACAGCCCTTATTACAAATGTCATATGCACCCTACCTTCTCTCGTGGCTCCGCTAGCAAAAGAAAAAAAGAACGACTGCAAATCACCAGGGACAATGGCTCAAATTCTTGACGGGTCTGACAAGATTACAGAGGTAATGAATCACAATTTCAAAGGTATGACTCACAATTTACAGAGGTAAGAACATCACAATTTACAAATGTAATGAAACTCCAGGTAAGTGGTCACAATATCATGACAATTTACAAAGGTATTTACAGTTCAGAAGCAAGTAATGGGTCAGGGAAGAGCCACCCAAAGCTTTGATAGCTGAACTAGTACAAAGGTCAATGAGCTCACAATTTCATAGTACTAGAATTCAGTAGGATGGTACTACGTTTAATAGCTTTGCTACAATCATGAACAAATTAAGAAGTAATGAGCAATTCAATTCCACACGTAACACTGAAAGGGAGGAGAATGATTTTTTATTTTTTTAGCTAACACACATGTAAATATAAATAACTCAGTTTACCTTATTCCTAGTATATCTCCTTTATAATATAATAAGATATTATCTCCTTTATAGTATAATAATACTCTAATTAAAAGGACCCCAATGGAAATAAGTCACTTTGACTTTTTTGGATTATCCCAGGTTCTCTACACATATGTTGCTATGTATGATAATCTGTGTAACTGTATTTGTGTACACCTTAAAAAACTTACTAACTAATCCCTGCATCTACCTGCCTTATCCTGCTATATACCTACCTATTCTTCTGTCTAACTACCTTCTTCATCTTCCCAACGTCCATCTATTTACTTTATTTTACCATCTGCCTTCCTTATACCCAGCTACTTATCCTTCCCCTCCATCTACCTACCCTCTCTGCGAAAATTTATTAAGACCAAAAATTCCACCGTCGGGATTCGTTTGCAAATATAACTAGATGCGTAGTCTTAGGAATCCTTAATACATCCTTCCATTCATTAGTGTATAAATCGTAAGATTAATATACTAATTGATAGATTTACGTTTTAAGAATTAATTAGGTAAGGTTAAATTGTTAGTAAATAATATTAGAATTAAATAATGTAGCCTTAAGCCATAATATTAGGTTGTATTAGGTAATGAGATTAGAGATATATTAATAACTAGTAACACTTCCTTGAACTGAGGAGAGGATTCAACTTGCTGAAGGTAGAATCGTCCTTCTGGAAAAGGCAGCATGGTGTCAAGATCTTTAGGAGCTACCAGTTGTGACCAAAATACCACCTGGAGATCGTCTAAGAGGCTTCCATTCGTCTCTTCCCCCCCCCCCCCATCCCTTAGTGAGATAATACTCAGTATGTATTTCTCTTATTATTTTGTTGGCCAACGGTATTCGGGAAAATGTGAGAATTTGAGCTTTGGGTTACGATGCGGACAAACGTCCAACACACAGTTTAACAGCGGCTAAGATTGTTGAATAACTGCCCTTTGAATACAGACCAGAAGACAGCAGTTCCTCACGCATCAATGTTAGTTAGAGAAGCCTCCAAAGATTTCAGGGACCTCCAAGGTGCTGTGGGAGTTGCTAATAATATTTAGCTATTTGTAGAAATCAGTCTCGTGCACTTGGCGTCTTCAAGTAAGAGGGAGGTCATAGAAATCTAGATTGCTTGGGTAGAATCAGGCAAAGCTCTAGCTTCACACGCGGAGGGCCCGGGTTCGATTCCCGGCGGGGTGGAAACATTTCGACGCGTTTTCTTATACCTGTTGTCCTGTTCACCTGGCAGCAAATAGGTACCTGGGTGTTAGTAGACTGGTGTGGGTAGCATCCTGGGGGACAAGATTGAGGACCCCAGTGGAAATAAGGCAGATAGTCCTCGATGACGCACTGACTTTCTTGGGTTACCGTGGGTGGTTAACCCTCCAGGGTTAAAAATCCGAACGAAATCTTATCTTATCTTAGCACAGTCTCCACAGCTAAGTAAGTCAGTTCTAGTTTGTGCATGCAGATAGGAATTTCCAGCATATTTCAGTATTCTAAAAAGACGTGTACCTTTAAGGGTCACTTGAGAGAACAGGACTCTAGGAGTCTTGTGATGTCTGTGTCAGCTGCGACTGCCAGAGTGGGCATCTCACAAGTTCCCACACTCCCTCCATCTACCTGTTTTATCTCTCCATCTGCCTACTTTCTCCCTCCATCTATACATCCTCCGCCTTTTTCAACCACGTCACTTGCAAAGCGACTTCTGTATTTCATCACCATTCTTAATCATTATTATCTTCTTGCGATAATGAGAGAGAGAGCTCACCAGAGAGCCACCTACTGCTCCTTTAGTCTTAACTCTGCTGGTGCTTGTAACAGTGTGACCTGGTGCTTGTAGCAGTATGACCTGCTGGTGTTTCTAGCAGTGTGACCTGATGGTGCTTGTAGCAGTGTGACCTGCTGGTGCTTGTAGCTGTGTGACCTGCTGGTGCTTGCAACACTGTGACCTGGTGCTTGTAGCAGTATGACCTACTGCGTGCTTCTAGCAGTGTGACCTGCTGGTTCTTTTAACAGTGATCTGGTACTTGTAGCATTATGACCTGCTGGTGTTTCTAGCAGTGTGACCTGCTGGTGCTTGTAGCAGAGTGACCTGCTGGTGTTTATAGCAGTGTGATCTGCTGGGGCTTGTAGCAGTAACCTGCTAGTGCTTATAGCAGTGTGACCTGCTCGCGCTTGTAGCACTGTGACCTGCTGGTGCTTGTAGCAGTGTGATCTACTGGTGCTTGTAGCACTGGACCTGCTGCTGGTGCTTGTGTGACCTGCTTCTGGTGCTTGTAACAGTGTGACCTACTGCTGGTGCTTGTAACAGTGTGACCTGCTGCTGGTGGGTGTGACCTGATGCTGGTGCCTGTAACAGTGTGACCTGCTGCTGGAGCTTGTAACACTATGACTTGCTTGTGCTTGTAACAGTGTGACCTGCTGTGCTTGTAGTTGTGTGACCTTCTGGTGCTTGTAGCAATGTGATCTGCTGTGCTTGTAGCAGTGTGACCTGCTATGCTTGTAGCAGTGTGATCTACTGGTGCTTGTAGCAATGGACCTGCTGCTGGTGCTTGTGTGACCGGCTTCTGGTGCTTGTAACAGTGTGACCTACTGCTGGTGCTTGTAACAGTGTGACCTGGTGCTTGTAACAGTGTGACCTGCTGCTGGTGAGTGTGACCTGATGCTGGTGCCTGTAACAATGTGACCTGCTGCTGGTGCTTGTAACACTGTGACTTGCTGCTTGTGCTTGTAACAGTGTGACCTGCTGCTTGTGCTTGTGTGACACGCTGCTGGTACATGTAGAACTGTGATCTGCTAGTGATTGTAGTAGTGTGACTTGCTGCTGGTGCTTGTAGCAGTGCGACCTGCTGCTGGTGCTTGTAGCAATGCGACCTGCTGCTGGTGCTTGTAGGTGTGACCTGTTTCTGATGCTTGTAACAGTGTGACCTACTGCTGGTGCTTGTAACAATGTGACGTGCTGCTGGTGCTTGTAACAGTGTGACCTGCTGCTAGTGCTTGTAAGTGTAATCTCTTTCCCGTGCTTGTAACAGTGAGACCTGCACGTGCTTGTATCTGTGACCTGCTGGTGCTTGTAACAGTGTGACGCGTGACCTGTTGCTAGTGCTTGTAAGTGTGACCTGCTGGTACTTGTAACAATATGATTTGCTGCTAGTGCTTGCATGACCTGTTGGTGCTTGTAACAGTGTGGCCTGGTGCTTGTAAGTGTGATCTGCTGCTGGTGTTTGTAACAGCCTTGACGCCGGTGAAGGGCTCTTGATCCAGGAAACTGGAGCTGCCCTCCGCTTTGATCAAACCTGATTGCTTCCTATTCTCAATTATCTAGGTGATCTGTGATCCCTACGGGTTTAGCGCTTATATAAGAACATAAGAATGGAGGAACACTGGCCCATACTAGGCACGTCTTTTCGCACCCAAATCCAACTAACAAAGGTGTATGCCCAACCCCCTTTTCGATGCTATCCAAGGAATAATCTTCGATCACTCTGCTAACTTATGTGCAAGTCCCATCACATCCAACCCTCTCACTCATGTATTTATCTAACCTATATCTGAAGTACAACCAAATGTTTTGGCTTCAATAACCCATAAATAATAACATATTAATGACTGTAACTACAATCAGTTGTTGGGTCTGTTATGAGAGAGACAGTGCACAACCTTCACAGTGGTGAGGCCAACATATTTTGGACAAGGGCGCTTATTTACAAGACATTTCATCCCGAGTTTCTTCTTCAGTCCTAATAGAGACAGGAATCCAGCAACCTGCCACCAAAGTAACATCTAACGTAACCCTGACAATAAGAGGCAGTTAATATGTCTTTTTGATCTCCGTCACTGATTTGGAAAGAAGCAAACTAACTGATAACACAATCACCAGTGTGATAAGATGTGGGCGAAATGGAGAAACAGGAAAATACGGTAATGCCTCCTGACGAGTCTTTATCAGCTGATGAATCAACGTCTGGTGTACCAGTGCTGGGTATCATAAATTATGGTACAAACCTTGCTAATTGATACCGACAAATTGGTTTAGAAAGACACGTGAGTAAACGCTAGGACATATTTATTAGAAAACGTTTCGGTCCTAGGACCTTGATCACTTATCAAGGTCTCGGAACTGAATTATTATGATCATGGGGGACCGCTAAACCCGTAGGGATTATAAAGCTCCTGTGGGGGAGGGGGATGGAAGGCATTCAGGGTCAATTCAGGAAACTGGAGCACAGATCCAATTCCCTAGATCAAGAGCCCCTCACCAGCGTCAAGGCACCTCCCTTGAGGGGCCCGGGAATGAAACTTTTTCTAATGTCTTAGTGTTTGCTCACGTCTTTCTAAACCAATCAGAAATTAAACAACTGCTGGCGACCCGGTGCAACATACGGTAGAACACACAACAACGATTTTATTTAATTATCTAAGGTTAAATCTACAGAGTGTGTGTGCTCACCTGCAGGGGTCGAGGACAGCTCCTGGCCCCCGCCTCTTCACTGGTCGCAACTAAGCCCTCTCCCAGCTCCATGAGCTTTATCAAACCTCGTCTTAAAGCAATGTATAGTACCTGCCTCCACTACGTTACTTTTCAGACTGTTCCTCTTCCTGACAACTCTGTGACTGAAGAAATACTTCCTAACATCCCTTTGACTCGTCTGAGTCTTCAATTTCCAATTGTGACCCTTTGTTTATGTGTCCCATCTCTGGAACAACCTGTCTTTATCTATCTTGTCAATTCCTCTCAGTATTTTATAGGTCGTTATGTCATCCCTAACCCTCCTGTCCTCCAGTCTCGTCAGGCCGATTTCCCTTAAACTTTCTTCGTAGGACATTCTTCTTAGCTCCGGAACTAGTCTTGTTGCAAACCTTTGCACTTCCTCTAATTTCTTGACGTGCTTGACCAGGTGTGAGATCCAAACTGGAACTGCATACACCAATATGGGCCTGACGTACACGGTGTACAGAGTCTTGAACAGTTCCTTACTGAGGTGTCGGAATGCTATTCTTAGGTTTGTCAGTGCCCATATGCTGCAGCAGATTAGCGCCTGGTAATGTTATCTGGTTGATGTGCGCCTCAGGAGATATGCTCGGTATTATACTCACCTCAAGAGCCTTTTCCTTGATTGAGGTTTGGAGTATTTGGCCACCTAGGCTATACTCTGTCTGCGGTCTTCCTTGCCCTTCCCCGATCTTCATGACTTTGCATTTGTTGGGGTTAAATTCCAGAAGCCAGTTGCTGGACCAGGCTTTGTAGCCTGCCCAGGTCCCTTCGTAGCCTGCCTGATCCTCATCCGATTTAATTCACCTCATTAACTTCACATCATCTGCAAACGGGGACACTTCTGAGTCTATCCTTTCCGTCACGTCATTCACATATACCAAAAACAGCACTGGTCTTAGGATTGACCCTGTGGAACCCGCTCGTCACAGGCGCCCACTCTGACACCTCGTCACGTACCACGACTTCTTGTTGTCTCCCTGTCAACTATTCTCTGGTCCATTGCAGTTCCTATCCTGTTATGCATGCCTGATTCTCTAGCATTTGCACTGCTCTCTTGTAAGGAATTGTGCTGAAGGCCTTCTTGCAGTCCAAGAAAATGCAATCTACCCACCCCTCTCTCTCATGTCTTACTTCCGTTACCTTGTCATAAAACTCCAGTAGGTTTGTGACACAGGATTTGCCTTCCTTGAAACTGTGTTAGTTATCATTTATAAGCTTGTTCCTTTCTAGGTGCTCCACCACTCTCCTGATAAACTTCTCCATGACTTTGCATACTATACACATGCTCGTGGACACACACACATGTTAATGTGCGTACTCTCACGACCATTATAAAAAAATCTTATCTTTATAACACCTAAATAAAAACATTTAAACCGCTGACTTACTGGCTACGTTTTCCACCCCATGTACAAGGTATAGCTGGAGTATACCTGGAGGGTGTTTCGGGGATCAGTGACCTTGGCCCGTCCATGACCCGTTTACGAGGTCAGGGCCTCATGCAATCACGGTTTGTACTGCCAGCCGCACGCAAACCGACGTATGACCACAGCCCGCTAGACCTCCCTCTTGTAGACAGCTAGGGCTCTATTGGTAATCCCCCTTATGTATGCTTGGAGGCAGTTGACCAATCTTAGGCCCCTAACACTTACTGTGTTGTCTCTTAGTGTACTCATGACACCCCTGCTTTTCATTGGGGGAATGTTGCACCGACTGCCGAAGTCTTCTGCTTTTGTAGGGAGTGATTTCCGTGTGCAGATTTGCGACCAGTCCCCTAGGATTTTCCAAGTGTATATTATGATGCAGCTTTCTCGTCTGCTTTCCAAGGAGTACAGGCCAAGGGACTTCAGCCGTTCCCAGTAATTTAGGTGCTTTATTGTACTTATACGTGCGGTGTTAGGGTTATATCAGAAATTCTGAAATTAAACAAATTTTAGTCTCGGTCATTTAGACTGTCGATCCACAAGGCTCCCAGAATATGTTGCTAACACATAGTAACAATACTAATACTCTTGTTACTAAAACTTCTGTACTTACTGTTTCTGCAGCTGCTGTTAGCTAATCATGTCGAAGGAGGTGGACGAGACGTTGTACTCCCGTCAGTTGTATGTGTTGGGTCACCAGGCCATGCAAAAGATGTCCACCTCAGACGTTCTTGTGTGTGGACTCGGAGGTCTGGGAGTAGAGGTAAGTTAATGCACAAATGACATTTCTAATAAACGTTGGCCTGTTAACATAAATGTCAATAAGGTTTTATTTAAATAGCTGCAGCCCAGTGAATGTGTTGCTATATACTGACAGGTAGTTGTTTGATATACGGTTAAGGTTTCTACAGGGATTCCCTTCAAGGGCACCTGGATGATATATAATAACGACAAGTTGACGAATAAAATACATGTTCAACACCGGGTAATTTTGTTATTGCTGTGTAAATGGTTTAGAAAACCGACAAGTTGAAGAATGAGACACTTGTGCAACATCTGGGAATCTTTAGCGAGGAAACGTTTCACCAGCCAGTGACTGCTTCAGTCCAGTACAACTTGAGGTAATCAGTTCCTCAGTCAGATGTTGTACAAATGTCTCATTGCTCCTCCATTATTTATTAATGTTATGGTAATAAAGATACCCAGTGTTGCACATGTGAATAGCTCTTGATCCAAGGAACTGGAGCTGCCTTCAATTCTTGGATGAGACATGGTTGCCTCCCGTTTTCCCAGCGCCTCTTCATAAGTGTAATATACCTCTACAGGAGCTGAGCTAAGACTTCCTGCAGTTATTTTCCTTGCTAAGACACTATATATAACATATTAATTACGCATCATTAATTAAACATCGTTAACATAACCAGTAAAAGATCATTAGATAAATATAATAAATACATTAATTAAAGGTAATCAATTAAACATTATTAAATAAATGGTATTATCACTAATTATACATCATTAATTTATATTGCA